GCGAGGCCGACGAACGACTAGGCATTAGTCTGAGAAAATTTTGAGGTATCAAATGAATATGAGTGAAAGTCTGAAGCAAATCATCGAATAACTGCGCTATCGAAATAAAACAGATTTTATTTATTCGTTTGGGCAAAAAGTTCTGCAACGATTTCACCCTCGTCCTCATATCAAAGTGTTGCAAAACTTGTTGCTCAATCTAGCATTTCTTCTAAAAAATAGATGCCATTGGACGATACCCTTTCAGTAGAGGGTCAGCGGCTACTAAGCCGCGTTACTTGTCTATTTTCTTTTCGGGATCAAATAAATGGAAGGTTAACAATCTCGAAGCCACAATGAAAGGAAGCACAGTTATTCAGTTTAGAAGTTAGTCAAATGTGAAAGGCATAACACAGGTAACGTGGCAAGGGGGTAGCCACGAGTGGCCGACAGGAGGGAGGTCGACGAACGACTAGATGTTTGTTTGAAAAACTACTTGAGAGATGAGATTTATAAAAGTCTCAGTTAATGTCAATGATTTTTGAACAAATATTACTGATGTCTTTTCTAGTTTCGAGAATAAACCCTGCAAATTATCAGCTCTTTAAATTGAGAAGAGTAATAGAATATGTCCTGTAGATCGCACAGTTATGTTGGATTTTGACAGCTTCGGTACCAGGCCGACTCAGTGTAAATGAGAGTTGAAAGGCGCATATAGTTTAAATGATCTTTAAGAAAATTTAACTAATACTCTTTGTGAGAACGAGACCACTCAATTATCGAGTTTCACAAGTGAAGAGAAGAGTAGAATCTGTGACAAAGGTCACACTATTATGTAAATTTTCAATATCTAGGATGAGAAACCGATTAATTATGAGTGGGTCAACTGTTCGGTGCGAAAATGGAAAACTAATCGTCTGGTCTCCGATTGCGAATTTTTTGAAAAAGAGAAATCCTTAGAGGATCGATCCTGTCTAAAAGATAGGATTTTCATAAAAAATGGCTAAAATATAGGTATATATAATCTTTGCTACTTCCTCTCATTCCTTTGATAAAAATTAAGATCTGCGCGTGATGTTTTGCCATAAAAATAAACATTTAAATGAAATTTCATTGGAAAATTCGATTGCGACATGGTTTATTCACATTTCAGCAAACAACAAATAACTAAGTCCCAAATTTGACACAATAGATAGTGCAAAGCAAATAAATACATTTTTGATTAAATTCAGTAAATAAATAAATAAATAAATGCTCATTTATGTTTATACATAGACACTTGGAAAATAAATATCAAATCTCACTTTTCAATACATGTGTTGCATCGTATTATTTCTGTTCAATTAATTTCATCTTTTTTGTTACCGACTGCTCGTGAAGAAAAGCATCCTTTCTTTTTAATCGAAGTTTTTCAAGTTCATTGGTCAGCTGTTGTTCACTAATATTCGTCAATTTTTCACGACCGCCACCAATCAAAAGATTTGCTGCATATACTTCAGACAAAGCGCCGCTTTTTAGTGCTCTTTCTAGTCGGTTAGTTCCTTCTATGATTAAGGATTCAGTTTCTTTCAATTGGGTCTCAAGATTTCTCTGTTTGATCAACAATTGCTTTTCGTTTTGAGTAGACTCTTTTTCGACATTCTTCTTGTTACGAATAGCAAGTGACAGTTTCTCTGCCAGCAATTCTTCGCGATAGACTATGGTCGGTAGCCAAACGACAAGACGCAGCTTGTGCATGCAATAATGTCGTACTGAATTTATAGTGAAAAATCTATGACACACGGAAACTATATGTATTATCATCCTCCGTTTCTGATTGGTCGATTTTGTGACACTCAACACCCGGATAGTTATGTGACACGATGTGATGATGAAACAATGCGTATTTATATTAGGTGATCTTTAATCTGAACCCTTTGACGTTGATAAAAACGCACATACATACAGGCTATTTTGTTCATATGACCTTCCTTCCCGTTGAAGGGAAATGACAGCACTAGTTCTATCAGTGTGTTATACTCAATTCGACCGCACCTCTTCCGCGCACAGCTCTAAACCATCATTGACCATCTTAATCCCCGCAAATGATGTTTTATTAAGTTTTGAGCATTTTCGAAAAAAATGTTTTTTTTAACCTTTCAGTAGAGTCCGGCGGGATTGTCCCGATCCCTATATTTTTCCCGAACCCGAGTCCCTATCCCGGTCCCGACGGGATCGGGATCCCGATCTTGATATCACTGAGGTAGTATTCTGGATCCCGATCCCGTCGGGACCGGAGCCGGGATCGGGACCGGGATCAACGTTCTCGGGACCAATTAAATCGCTTCATATCGAAGTATAACATTTAAAAAAAATTTATTATGATCTTCAGTAAAAAATAAAACTTCAAAACGCATAAGTCAAGGAAGACAAGGTTTATAAAAAAAGAAATAATTAAAATAGAAGAAACAAACAAGTTTGATCACTCTTCGAGTTCATCCTCACTTGGTGCGGAATTGTTGTCTCCAATTCTATGTCTCTTCACTATTGAAGGTGTCCGCTGTTCACCTTCACTTTCACCTTCGCTATCAACCTTCCATTCATCCATTGATTTTCGTTTTTGACTTCCTTGAATAACTTCTTCTTTTTTTTCTAATTGTTTTAATGAATAGAGGTTTTTGCGAAGAAATATGATTTTATTCAGTTTTTCAGCGTCAAGCCGAGTTCGATTGTCTGTCACTACCATCTTCGAACATGAAAACAATCTTTCCACCTCCGTATTCGAAGCAGGTATAGCCAATACTTTACGTGCAAGTGAATGAATATTTGGAAATCGATTTTGTTGTTTCGTCCAATATTCTAAAACTGAAGACAAACATACGTAATCGGAATAATATTTCAAAGATGAAAACGTTTTCGAAAAAATAACTCACTGTTGTCATCGTCATTTTCATCACTATTCGTTGTTGAGTTTAAATACTCTTCACATTCAACTATATGAAATGGTTCAGGATTTGATACTTGATCAAAACATTGAGCTAATAGACTTTTTCCATTTGATAAATTTGAATATTTGTTACATGGCATATTGTTTGCAGTAGTATCTGGAAAAGGTGATAAGTTCGAAGAAGTCGGCTTGGAAGTAATTTGATTCTGAATTGCAAGTTTTAATAAATGAACTGCTTTTTCTTTATCACCAGGTGCACCCATATGAAAATGTTTTAATCGAGGGTGAACGATGGTTGCAAGGTAATGTTCATCTTCGAGAATCCAACATTTTTCAATTCTTTTTCCTAGAATAAAAGAACCATAGTCAATTATTCAATAGTGCATGGGATGATTTCGTCTTACTTAAAAATTCTTTCAATTTTTTAATTCCACTATGATCTTCAGGTTCAGTTTTACAAGAATTAAGTAAATATTGACGTAATGGTATAACTCGATGAAGAGTAGGTCGATCTGTAACGCTCAATTGTTGAAAAACGTTGTCAAATGGAACCAAAAACTCGCAAACTTCTTGTAGAAAAGTCTTATCTATTTTTATATAATTTTCTAAATGTGAACCATTAATGATAGGAAAAAGTTCATCAAACACCACCAAAAACACATTCAGCATGTAGAAAGCACCATTGAATCTTGTTTCACTATAAACTTGAAGTTTTCTTGAAAGTTTCAGCTGCTTATGGGAACGACGAATATGAGCTATTAATGCTTTTATATTGTCGAATAATTCTTGAACCTCGGTACAATCCACCGGCTGTTTATCAATCGTTTCAGAAGTAAAACCATGCTCTAACTGTTTGTTCAAATAATGAGAACTACAGCCGATGCGTTTACATTTAAAATTAAAAGTTGATTTCATTTTATTTTCATTGTCGCTCATAACATATTTTCCATCATCAAGTTTCAATCCATATTCATCTAATATTCTTTCAACAAATGTACGAACACTTGGTGCTTTTTGATCACTTTCATCATATGGATAACACCCGAGGATAAATACGTGTAGCTGATTATTTTTATCAATGTGATGAAGCGAAATGCCTCCAAAGTGTATACCAGTATGACCTTCAGTCCAGAAGTCTACCGTGATACAATAACTATCAATTGTTTTGCACCATTGAATTAATTGATCTGTTCGTAATTTATAAACTTGATTTATATTTCGACTGATCTGAAAAGAAAATAATAATTAATATTTCGAAACGTAAACTGTTTTTACCGTAGTTGAATCAGGTATCAAATCGGTGACTTGTACACTTGGTAATGCAGACAAACGTTGACCAGCAGCAAACACGGCTTCCATTAACCGAAGAAATCCAGCACCTTTGACAGTTTCAAAAGGACGATTATCGAGTGAAGAGAATTCAACGCACGCATCGGTAATCAATTTTTTCACTTTTGATGAAATTCGTTTAGGAGTATCATTTTTTGACGATAAAGAAACATGTGAATCCTGCGGAGCGGTATCAGGCTGGTCTTTCTTTTTGCAAGCCTTTATGTGATTTGACATCACCTTTGTTCCATCGATTGATCTGTGTATAAAAATTGACTCGCACTTATCACATCGAATCACATCTTGTTTCACTTTATTGTAAAATACTTGATGGAAACAGTGCCAAAATGGTGACGATTTTGGTGTCTTTTTAGGCTTGATAAATTCAAGCAAAGGGTCATTGTTTTTAATGAAAACTGTAATTTCTTTTTTTTCGTATTTCATTACAGCAGTAAAATATACCACGAAGAAATTCAATGGCAAAATATCTGAAATGAAATAGATTTATTCATAGTATGCAAACAGATGACAAAAAAGAATTCTGTTAGATTAGAAAAGGCTTCCCAAAATTTATCGATACGTTAACAGCGTGGTTACAAAGATAGAGAATTAAGTACACAAATGCAAATCAAAGATGGATGTTGAAAAATGGTTTATATACACCGCGCAAGCGTCTCATAAGAATAACACTAGATGCGAAATATGATGTAAATCGATGAAATCCAGGGTTACAATATGAATACGAGTAAGCGTGTTCACACAGAGTTAAAACATTTTGATGAATATTAGGAAGACCTTGAATACATAACAAAGAAATCTAGTGTCGAGGGAAGAATGATTTCTATCTGGATGACCTTGATATGTATAGTTTAATATGATTTCATCGTTAGATATATTGTTTTCAGTCATATGATCTTTCTTTTCTGCACAACATTCGTCCTTATTGACCTTGTCTTCCGTTTTTCCTCTCGTTCTATTGGCGATATGTTATATGCCTTTCGTCTTCGATACAATTTTCTATCTTACAATCGACCCATTAGTTTGATTTAGTACATAATTGACAAAAGCATTAGAATGTACACCTAAACGTTATCTTTCCGTAAAAAGTCATAATAAGTATGCAGTGCTATCGAATGATATTTCACTTGACATATTCTTGAAAAAAAGATGTCTGACAGATTAGAAAAACGGGTTTTAACGGGACCGGGACGGGTTTCCCGTTAGGAAACGGGTTCGAGATCGGGACGGGACTCGTCCAGTTGGAACGGGATCGGGATCGGGACGGGACTCGTCCGATTGGAACGGGACCGGGATCGGGACAAAAAATCTTCGTCCCGCCGGACCCTACCTTTCAGTCGAGGGAACATTTTTTTTGTATTCTCCGGACATTGATAGATTGAACAGCCTGTCCAATCGTCTGAAACATAGATTTGTGCCAATCCTCCCGCATAATTAACCTTGTTTTCTTGTTTCAAGTTTTTCTCTGGTTGAGCTATTCATGCCACTGGGATCAGTAAGCATATCGTTAAAACGATACTGATTCGCAATTTCCTATCAAAGCTTATAAATAATGTCTTCTGCGTTTGACATGATGCTCTGTATAAATGCTAGTTATTCAACGCTGCCTTTGGATTAGCGTGAAAGAGACGTAGAAAATTATTTATAATGAATGTCCACTCGATAATTGACTGGTTATCATCGTGAACAGAGTTATCAGATCGATTTATGGTGGTTATGAATTCGTCGTGTCAAAAAGTTTTTGCGACGCTATTTTATAGAAGTTCGTCGTTTGGTAAAACCCGATGCCAGCCGAAGGAAATGAAAAATTACATTGAATAGTTGTCTCTATGATATTATATAACGATTGGTATTGATATCTTCATATTGATCTTGAGGGTAGAAACGTAATGTGCACCGTGATTTGACTCGCCCTCAACGTGGAGTGCGCTGTGTATCAGAGACTAAGAATATGTTATTTCTCTATAGAAAGGAAAACTCGGAAGAATGAGGACGTAGTATCTTCATGGTCGAGTAGCAACTACTAAAACAAGGTTTACAGGATATTTTGAACATGAGAGAATAATCTTTATTTCAAAAATCGAACACATCACACTTTCATGTAATTAGAAATGTACAGGAATAGAGTCGATATAAAAATGTCTTCATATTAACCTCTANGGTTCGAGTCCTACTTTGACTTAATGATCTTCTTTAACAAATTGTTCGTATTTGTTAAAACATATCTCTGTGGTTTCCTTTGAATAACTTGACATCGATACAGTCGTGGACAAATGGAAAGATTTCTAATTATTGATTCTTTTATACCTATTTTCAAACTCACCCTACGGCAAAACAGTAACAAGGAAAAGAAACTTATCCGACCTTCGTCAATATGAAATGATCTACCTAGCTCTCATTTATTACCATATACTAAAGTCGAATACTTTTGAATAATATCTTAATAATTTCTTCGAAATCCATTGACTATCTTACCATGTCACGAGTCCCTTAAGCAAGGGCAAAGCCGCTCATGGTTATATCTATCACTTTCAACTTGAACATCATATCATTGAATAATGAAAATCTGAATAAACGATTTACATAATATTCCTGTTTTTATTTTTTTATTAGAAAAGTCGGAAAAAATTATGAGATTAAATAGAAATACTAGCTAAACAGAATTTTTTCTGTTCACTAATAAATTTTTATTTACTACATCTGTTGCTAAAAAATTTTCTTTTTCCGTTCTGTTTCAAACAGAAATAAAATATTGTTATCTTTTATAAATATGAAACATTTATTTTATTTTTCACTTGCTTTCTAATTTTCATCGACGTCAATCATTAACCTACAAATTTTTTGTCCTATTTTTCACAGATTATAAAAATTACAGTATAAAAGCAAATGCACATTCTCGTAACTTGATTTTGCAAGCACTACAACGAAGCTTCAATCAGGTTTATTGCTCTAGCTGATTATTTTTAAAAAGTGAGTAGAAGTTAAAATAATAGATTTTAGGAAGAATATCTGTTGATCAATTACTTAGCGGTATATGACCAGGATCTTATTGGTTTCTAATAAAATTGTGTAGGATTTCAGTAAGGAACTTAAGACCCTACCACTTCAAAGTCGATTTTTGACTTAGAATTATTCAAATGACCTGGAATTTTTAGAATATCTTAGGATTGTAGTGGAGGGTCTATGGTAAAATTTTCAGCCCGATATCAAACTATTCGAATCCAGAAAAATACGTGTATCTACTGCATGACTTGTGCAGATCAGCGCTGCTAGCGTAACATTTATACGTTGGGTTAGCGAAGAGCTATGATGAGCAACAGCTTATGATCGTGCGTGTCTCATAAATCATGAACGGAACAGCGCTATGTGCCGAGGAACTGACAAATATATAGCTGATGTATTGACTCATCTAAAGTACAGATTTGATTAAGAATCATCGGGATGTTGGAAAATTCGGTCTGTATTGTCGTTAAGATTGATCATCAGTCAAATCGCTTTCTTGATTGAAACTCAAAGATATTGTAATAAATCATCCTAACAGTTCTGTAACAAATGACGCAACTCTCGAACATCAATACTCAAGCATTCGGAGAGAAAATAATTTGGGAGCCAAACAACAGAACAGTGTATTATATTTTCATAAAAAATATTGTGTGAACAAATTTGATGTATTAAGCTCAGACTATACTGTGCTGCAGAGCAATTCTGGTAATCTTTATTTTTTCTTATTACAGACAAAAACTTAGTGTTTGTATATTGTATTATAAAAGCTTAACTAATAACTATATTTATTCCACAAGTAAATCTTCCTTTGAATAAAATACTGAAATATGGGCGGTCATTTTTGATTGCCCCAAAATCTTTTGTGAGGAGTGCAACCATTCGCCCCTACTCGCATTGACTAATCCCTTTCTTAACCTTCCTCTATCCCCAAGGATATGTAATAAAAAGTTTGGCACCGATAACTGTTACAGGCTCTCAATGTATAGCGAACAGACAAAGAGACAGAGATAATTCTTTTCTTCTTTGTATATATAGATATCATTTTGAGCAAAGTATGCTACAGTTTCCTTTCGCTCTATTTTCAGGATTTCGATACTTGAGGATCATAGAGAGTCGACGCATTGATTGTAAGTTTCTTTAGGACGTTAATTTTTTTTTAGTGTTGATTCTTCTGCAACGTATTCAACAATGGTTAAGAAAAGGAGCAACTTTTATTCGATCTTATAATCTTTTCAAATCTGTATCACCTTCGATCAGTGAATTGGATCTTCGTAATGAAATCATCTCAACAAGGTTATTCATCGTCTTATTGAGTTTATCAGTAACAATTTTGATTTCCTATAATTTGTCAATCGATATCACAGATACGAACAAAGTAGAAGAACTGACTTACCAAAAATATACAGAATTATATTCAACATATTCAGACATTCTCACATGTCCGTGTACAATAACATCAATTAATTATGACAAGCTCTTTCATATTAATTACACTTTCCATCAGTTATATAACAGTATATTTATGTCAACAGATTGGTTTTATTATATCAGAAAATACGGATTACAAGCAGACTTTCGATTTGACGACTTTCGATACATTGGTGCAACACAATTTCAAGCATTAGAAATATTTTGTCAAATGGTAAACCAAACAATCTCAAATAATTTGATTCAGTTCTATTCAGCTCAATATATTAGTGCAATTGTTACGCCATCACACGCATTCGAATTACAAACTCAAGCGTTGCTCAATCAATTCAAGAACTTGACAAAAACAAATGCTTTTCTTTTGCTCGATATGATACGAGGTACTACTCAAGCCAATATATTATACTCGGGACAAGAAACGAACTACGGCGTAGAGATCTTCCAAGATTCGCGCGGGATCAGCGTATCTCCACGTTCGTACAACAATTGTAGTTGTGATTATTCAATGAAATGCGCTTATGAAACACGCATCTATGCAAGTGACAGCCAACCAACGATATTTTATATACCGGGTTTATTAACCGGATGCTATGTTATTGAAGCGATTCTTCAATCAACTCTTGAATGTTTTTATAATAAAACATGTATTACTCAAATTCAGTCATATATTGAAGAAATTCCATCAATGAATATAACTCCACTTGATTCATCATTGCCAACTCAATATTCGGTCAATTCAACTATTCAAGAGCTTCTCGATCATTTGATGGTAGAATACTGGAATATCTCAACAACATATGAAAAATATTATAATCAATGTCAACCAATACAATGTACATATACTTATAAAGGGAAGAATACTGTGATTTACATATTCAACGTATTACTTGGACTGTTGGGTGGTTTGATCACAGTTTTGAAAGTGATTGTGCCGATAATGGTTAGATTCATCAGAAAACAACTAAGACGACAACGAGAAATACCAACACCAGAAATCCGTAAGGGAAACAAATAATGTTCAATATTTTAGATCGACAGCAGATCGGGATGATCGGATAAGGATTGCATCTCGCTTGAAATCGCATCCTATAAGTTATCTTGCTCGATTGAGCTTCGTTCTTTGCAACGAGTGTTATTTTAGTATAAAGATTCTCATATTTTCATACACTGATAAAAATTTTCGTAGAATGATAAACCCTCAAAAAAGGGTTTATAACTGAAAAATTCGTTTATCAACGTGACCTACCCCTTGATCAACCCTTTTTTCTTGATAAACCCCAAAAAGGTATATTATCCGTTGCAAACTGATAAACCCAACAGCTTATTGTCTCTTGATAAACCCTTTTTCCGTTGATCAACTGAATCAACCCTCAAACTGAGAGTTTATCATCATTTCCAAGAAACCTTTCGATCACAATTGATCCAGTTGATCAACGACAAAAGGGTTTATCATTCTACGAAAATTTTTATCAGTGTATAGAAAGTGAAAAACCTTAGGCAATAATCAAGTTACGAACTATGTTATTACGTTCTATAGCAACACTTATTATGTTATTTACATAAAGCGACATGTAAATTATATCATGGTTGAAAAGAAGTGATGCAGACACATTGAACCACATATGTACAAAGATTTTTCTATCTATTTTCTAAAAGTTTTATACAAAAGTTTAAGGAAACTCATACGTACTTCATGACTATAGTATTGATTTATTGATTTTCATAAGTGTACTAGAAGTTCTAAACAAAGTGCAATAGAACCAAAGCAAGTCTTTAACAGTAATTAGTTGAAAATCCTAGGAAAATAGTAAGAAAAGTCTCTTTATCTGTGATTCAATACGTATTCTTCTCCACCTTTTAACGATAAAAGTCACAAATCTCTGCCTCCTTCTTATCTAAAGTTATTCAAAACAGATTCATAGTCATGTAACTCTGAAATGGATTATAGATTAGTAATAAATGCCAAAAACTTGCGTAGGACATCTGACGTCAGAATTTCGAGCATTTTCCGGGACAGTTCGCACACAAAGTGGACCAAGATAGGTCTTGATGTGCTTTACTTGAATCGTAAATAAATCTTTTCAAAAAGCCCTCCTATAATACCAAAAAACCGAAAAACCATCGAAAAAACGCTTAAATTGTGGCAAATTTGTGTAACGCCTGAGGGTATAAATATGCTGTCCTCAACCTCAACCTTACCCTCAAGTTCTACATGGAGAGACTGTCTATCAAGGTGAAAAAAACACGACTGCAGGAGTACATAGTCCATTGATACTCCAATAGTACTCAGAAAAAATTAGGCACTGGTGCAGTAAGCCCCAAAAACAAATTTAGTGTAGTGAAATATCAGTGTAGCAAGATAGGACAGGGTACTAGTAAAATATCCTATAATACCAGTGGAATATTGTGAAGTATCTTGAAAACACGTCGGGAGTATCAATGGAGAATTGATGGAGTCGTACCTTTTCCTTTTTGATTTTACTGAATATTCCGCGATTCATAAGTATCTGTATAAATGCCAAAACCAATTGTGTTCGAACACAAAGTACTACAAGTCTAATTTTTTCTTTTGACGGATGGAGCGCAGCTTGTGCTTTAAAATTGAAATATACATTATAATTGAATGTGTAGTTTTATTATATTAAATCTCAAGCTTTTTTCAAACACTGACATTGACTTGTTACTCAGATAAAGTTTGAATTTCTTTCATATCTTGACTACATATGTTTGTTTAAATGCTTTGAAAGTCATTCCAAATTTTGAGCAGTCATACAATTGTCATTGAAAAAAACTTTGACTCGAACGGATGTAGCTCTTGTGAGATTTGAACATGTTTCTGACTAGGTTAAAATTATCATCGACTTCTATCTCAATTTTAGTGTTTGAACAAAACCTTCAGATTTGATATCATAAACTAGATCTTCAATTATGATACCAATATGAATTATAAAGCACAAGATGTGTTCTATCTATCAGCGAAAAAGTTAGGCTTGCAGCCTTTTCTGCTCGAACACAATAGATTTTGACATTTGTACGAATATTTATGCATCGCGGGATATATTTTAGTACAATAATAGTCACATATCGGTCATACATTACATATATTTATTAGTATTATTCAACAATGAATCAATATTTTATCGCTATTTATTAAAAAATTATGCCAAAATAGTAGGAATATGTCGTATTTAGCCTTGTATGATGATGATAGAAATTTATTACCAAATCTCTCTTACCTAATTGTCTTAATACTCGTATACATCACATAACTAGATATATCATGTATAGTTAGACACTGATGCATAGTGCTTATGGTATAAATATAAAATATAAAATATATCTGTGAGATAGCTAAATGTCAAAAGCTATGTGTACTACTATATTTTGACTGAGTGATTATATAGGAGCTGAGCGATATTGGTATCTGTTGTGTTAAATATATAGTGCCAAATCAAAAACTATTCACCAATAGCACGGTAAGCCATTGAAAGAGGTTGCCATTTCAGATCAGCAATCGATAACTAACATCACCATTGCATTTATAGTGATTTTTGCGCAATATTGAAAAAAGTTTGATTCCATCAGAATTATATATATATAATTTATATATAAAAAAGATTATAGTACATTATATAGTTTAGAGAAATGTACTAGTAATAGCTAAAGCCATGGGCCTATTAAAAGACCCGGGTCTTCTATTTTGTCATTTCACTCACGAATTTTTAGAGGAGTCTTCTATTATGTCCTCTAAAAAGTCATGTTTTTATAGATGTATAGATTGGATTTTCTGAATATCACTTATTATCATGCTATTTTATTATAAAAAATATTTTTCATCTATCTGCATTAATGTATAAACAAAAACAAATGCGCGTTCTACTGATAAAACAAAACTTCAGAAAAAACATCGATCTTTTTACATATTGCACCCTATATGAAACACTTAGTTTACAACTATTCCTATACTTCTATCTATAATACAAAAAAAATATAGAAAAATCTGACTATTGCAGACGAAAAATTATAGGGGTCTTCTAATATGTCTTTTACATAATTCAACTAAGGGGGGTGTTCTATTATGGGAGGGTCTTCTAATGTGAGGGGTCTTTTAATATGTCCATGGCTTTATTCTTTTTATTTAAGAAACAAATAACAGTAGAAGATTTCCAGTGTATTGGGATAAAACAATACATTTTATTCGAGCTTTTAATTTGTTCAAATCTGTACCACCTTCAGTCGATGAATTTGATCTTCGGAACGAAATAATCTCGACAAGAATATATATCATCTTGTTAATTATTTCATTAACAATTCTTTTTTTATACAATTCATTGACGAACATCACAAATACCAGTCACAAACAAAGACCAACATTCAAAGAATATGGACTACTTTATGAAATTTATCCCGAAACTTTGACATGCCCATGTACAAATATATCAACAAATTACGAAGAGTTTGTTCAAATCAATTACACATTACATCAAGTTTGTACCAGTGTATTTGTAACAGAAGAATGGCTTCTATATCTTGCTCAAATTCAGCTGCACCATCAGCATCTGATGAACGATGAGTTTCTTAAGGTGGGTGTAAGATCATTTCAAGCTCTGACTGCATTGTGTCAAATTGTAAGGCAAACAATTTCGAACAGTTTAAATCAATTTTATTCAAATCAATATGTAAGTGCAGCTGTTACACCTGTCGAGACATTTACGTTAAGCATCCAACCATTGATTGATCAATTTAAATTATCAACAAAGAATAACTTTCTGTTCTCGTTCAATCTAATACGAAATACAACGGCAGTGAATCATATCATATCGGCCTTAGGATTAAATTACATTTTCCCCAGTCATATGCCAAGTATTACGAGACCTATCTCAACAACATACAATGGCTGCTCCTGTAGTAAGTCACCATATTGTGCCAAAGAATATCCAGTCAAAAATGATCCGACGGGGCCACCACCATTCATCATACCAAAATTCTATATAGGATGTTATCTTATCGAAGCACTTCTGCAATCTACTCTCGAATGTTTCTATAATGAGATATGTATAAAGGAAATACAATCATATATAGGAAATATTTCATCGATTCGTGTAACACCTCTTAACCCATCATTACCAAGTAGTTATTCTGTTAAATCTACAATACAACATCTTGTGGATCACTTTATGATTGAACAATGGTATTCATCCATTATATACGAAAAGTATTATAACTTCTGTCAACCCAAACAATGTATATATACTTACAAAACAAAGAATTCTATAATTTATATTGTAACTATACTATTCGGATTAATTGGTGGTTTAATGACCGTCCTAAAACTTGTTGTACCACTATTGGTGAGATTTATAGCATGGATTATTGTTAAACGGAGACGTAGAATAATTCCACAAACACCAACAATTGACACTTAACTATTATTATATGGAAAATTACTTTATACATGAGGCGCATGCAATGCAAAAGTCGAGGAGAAAAGAAATTTAGATCATTTATATACTTATCGGTAGAACATTCAAAACTGATTCATAATATATACTCGAATTCAGTCCGTAATCTTCAATTCCGTAAAATAGACTCGAAGAGGAGTGCAAGGTGAATTTCGATTGTAAATATTTTCGAAGAAATATAGGTTAGTCGATGCAGGTTTTTATACTGACTACGAATATGCTACTTTTAAATTGAATAAGATGAAGTGTTTGTTATAGACACACAAGCTCAAATTCATGAATTGACTTAAATGAATTTCAGAGCTGCTCCGTTGTTCATTTTGAACAAGCCGAACTTTTTAGGCCCCTATTGTTTGTCCGAAAATTGCTGAAAGATACTTCCACTTTTCAGCCTCTCATCTATGTAACCAGAAAAAAGAAGTTTCTTCGTAATGATAAAAAGCTGATTTGAGAGCATATGTATTTTTTGTCTTGTTCATTTGATGATTAGGATGACGTAAAAAGAATATAGGCTTACAAGGTAGAGCTCTGCACAAAACCCAAGGAATATCTCGCTAAACCGGTCAAAGTTTCAGGATTGATCAAAATCATCTGAATACTACAGTTTTGTGTGCCCGATTATGATCAGATATTTTCGTTGAAAATATTTAATTAATAGTACATCAATCGCAAGATTTGCAGTAAAAAAAAGTTTATTAGCCATTTCTAAAAATTGTGCATTTTGTAATTTTCTAGCCTTACATAAGATCTAAAAGTTCGTAAATGATATATTCTGAATCAGTTTTGGATGTTTTATCGATTATTATGTAAATAATCTAGATTTCTTTTTTTTTCTCGACTTTTGAATTGCATACACCTTATAAAAATCAAAGCCTGAAACGAGATACTATTTTACCCCTTTACCCCACTTCGCTTCATTACTGTTTCGCCTCGTCTCACTTTGCTTTGGTTTTTGGCGATGTTACCATAACGTATTGTGAGAAAGTTGAGTATATTGTACGTGTTCTAATTTTACACTATTGAATATCTGCAGTGCATAAGATTTTAATTAATTTATCTGGCACAATTTTATTTTATAAAATAAAGAAACAGAAAATGAAAACTAACAAATAATGCCTTATTCAGTTAACATCTTTATTTTGCTGTTTTCACTTGATCATAAAAATAAAATATCATTAACTGTTGATGGTTCGAATGTTGGCCGCCGTTATGAAATAATCAGTCCAGCAGCACTAAATTTACGTTCATCGACTACTAAAGTACATAAAATTGCGAAATATCTCTTAGCCAGTCGAGATAAAGATGGATATTTTAATTCATTTTCCCTCCAAAACTGGAGTGGATTGAAATATATTGTAAATTGAAGATCCAATTCAATATAACTATCAACTTCATCTTTCATTTATTTCCTATTTTCCTTTTTCACCGACGCATTATGATCCATCAATGATTCCAAAAATACCTGTTCAATTTGTCCAATAGCGTGACGGAATCATAGTTTTAAAATGTTGAAATTTCGTGAAATTGTTTTTCTCATTTAAAGCATAAAACTACTTCCAATATCTGTAATAACACAAAAGTCTAAATTTTTGGGAATATTGTCGTGGGTGAAGGTAAAAGTATGAGTGGTGAGGATGATGGTGGTAAAGGTAGGTGCGGATGGTCCTGCAGATGTGAGTATCGGTATCGGTATGAATGTAAATCAGTCCGAGTGTCAATATGAATAAAGGTGGATAGATGTGGGAAAGGCGGGAGAGTGAGCACGAGTTTCGACAGCTATGGCTACATATAAGCTCTGACTTCGCTCAAAACTATGTTCACACGCTCATGCAAACACTCACAGCCGTATACTCGCCATAAACACACACACATGCATGCTCTCGCCCACCTGACACTATACAACTACATTCGTCCACGTCCTCAAGATTCTTTCAATTTTATGTTGTATTTTTTGAAGGTTTTGATACAATTGGAAGCTTTGAGTCTTGTACAGAACCTTTTGTGAAGGTTCGGTAAACCTCCTTTTTCTTTAGAATACTCACAGCGAAAACTACACCTACGTTCTGATTAATAAGGTATTTGAATCTTCTCAGCATCTTGAACATTAATTAGTATGATATTATAAGAAAAAATTGGTTATTCGTTGGTGATTTCGTCACGCTCGTTCAGAGTAACTCGAACACCTTTTAAAAAGCAATCTAGTGTATGTGATAGAACATCAAAAACTAGGGTTGCACACCTATCGACAAAATTAAAACTCTCTTGCCTCAAGCAAAAAACGCATTGTAGAGTATTTTCCGTGGCAGAATTTATCAAAGTTAAAATCTTGTACGAGAAACAGTGAAGCCGAGAGTTTACGACACGAATGAAGGGCCCGTGTAAGTTGTACGTGGGTGTTTCCATGGGGTTTCTCCCACAACAAACACAACCATCTTCGATTCCCTTGGAAATTTCTTTTTATTGTAGGTATCAATGAGTTATGTTTATGGTAAAAATTTCAGCTTAAAATATAGTTCCTTCGTGGAGATAAACACCTCACAAATTCAGCTGGAAATCTCAAAAATCAGGGAAAAAATGAAAAGTTCAAAAAATTTGCAAATTGTGTAGTCTTTGCTGTTTTATAATATGTTGAGGAAATTCAATTCTAATTATATATTTTTGTTCAGTACGAGTCGGCGCGTTGACTCATGTATTATTTTTTACTTTTTGTCCATCTAGTAAAAACTTTTCTCGTTACACACTAAGAGTCACTCACCCAAATGAGTGCGTCAAGATCAATTTACAGAAACTCTGTTAAGCTACATTACAGGATCTAATGAGTTATAGGGTTTTGTAGAGTGACACATTGTCTATCAAACCCTGTATTCAGAATTTTATTCCATTTCGAAATGATCGAGATATTGCTGTCGACTCTTCTTTCATGCATTGATCTATGAGTCAATACATAAAGCTACGACACATGTTCCTTCATGTATATCTCGGATTTCGATGAAATTTTGTCATAATGTGGCCTTACGTGAGATATGAAAACGCTAAAAATTTCAGCTTGTAAAAGTCTTTCGTTCTCCAAATATTCAAAATTTACTAGCTGAATTTTCGTGTGATACTCTTATTAGAATACACATGAATATATGTGTATGAAATCTTTAAAAAATACTCTAGTAGTGGAACTCATTCCTATTCTCTGAACATCAGCATTTAGGTCTCTACTAACTTCCATCAAGAACTCCTATAAAATTGAAAACTTTTTTCGGAATTGCCGTAGGGGGGTACAGGACTTACGATAGCGTGGAGCTGGGGGGGAGTACAGTAATTTTCAAAAAAACTTTTTTTTTCTGTTTCGGCGGAGTTATTGATGGCGATCAGTACACATATAGGTCGTGATATTTCCTGAATAAAAATCGCGTTCAAATGTTAAAACATTTATACACATCTCCAATATATACATACATGCGTTTTACCCATGCATATCATATGATAAATTCAGTCAGTAAATTTTGAATATCTGGAGAACGAAAGACTTTTACAAGCTGAAATTTTTAGCGTTTTCATATCTCACGTAAGGCCACCTTATNAAAGTCAAATACTATATAGTTTGCAAAGTATGCAAAATTTTTGATATTTTATGATTTTTGAAAATTTCAGCTAAACTTATGTGCTCAATATCTCCACGAAGGAACTATATTTTAAGCTGAAATTTTTACCATAAACATAACTCATTGATACCTACAATAAAAAGAAATTTCCAAGGGAATCGAAGATGGTTGTGTTTGTTGTGGGAGAAACCCCATGGAAATACCCACGTACATCACATAATCGACTTTAGAAGTAATAATATCGCTTAATGAAAAAATCAAATCATAGTCAAGACATATTTCCTATTAATTAATGATCCTGCGAGGATACCTCATATCAGCAAGTTCTTTTTAAGGACATATGCATCATCAGAGTTAAAAAAATGTGATCTCTGACATTATTGATGTTGCCCTATAACGTGCTTATATTGGTTTTGTCCAACTGCGTATATCGATTTCCCTCAAACTGACGGACTGTTACGTGACAGGTCGACATGCATTTTTTAATTATAATTCATGTATTTATTTTAATTGTATATTAATAAATCTTTTTAACGAATTGCCTGATGATGATGCATGAGTAGTATCGGAAGCTTGTAAATATGAAGAATTTTTTAAAATTTTCTACTTCATTTTTAAGTTTTTTAAAAACTCCCTTTGGCAATTCTAATTTGACCTTACACTCTCGCTCCTACGTTTCATAATTGATAGTACACATCTTTGTCTCATTTACTGTCGATCATATTTGTCTAACTATTTTTCCTCCATTCACGATCATAAGAAAATCATCAACTAAAATTACGTCGATAGGCAAAATCTTCCGAATTGGGATAAGGATATGAGTTTTGAGTTAATTTTATGCTTATATCTGCATCCTTTTTTCCATTTACTTAATTTCATGTCATATGTTGTGATTTCCCTTTTTTTCTAATGTCATATCGAGTTTCTTTTTCTAATACATCTGTTAACTCTCATTTTTCTTGTTAGCATGTAAAGGAAAAAAAGTATTTTTTTAGAATATGAATGATACAGCATATTATATTAATTTGATAAATAGATATTCTGGTGTGTTGTTTTTTCTTTTTCCCCCTTTGATTCTGCATAAATAGGGCAGTACCGCGAAAGGCAGTTAATTTGACGAGATAATCTTTCACTTAATTTCTCAACGTATTCATCACATTTTAGTGAGAAAAGCACCAGAAATATATGCTTACTTGTCAACTTTCATCGAGATATAGAAGTGCGTAGTGATTTACTACTAAATATTCTTGATTATATATTGAAATTTTGATTTTGCCCTTGTATAATCGCAATCTCAAAAACTTAAATCTATCATTCATAAAATCTCTTCTAATTTTTTTGATAAAAACTAGGTTTGAATAGTGAAAAAGAGTGTAATGTCAAAATATGTCTATTCAAGGTAACTAGTGAGAGAAATACATGTGTGTCTGCTCATTGTGTTACTTTTTGTTCCTAGTTGCGATGTTTTCATCGTGACACTAAGAATGAAAAGTACTATTTTAAATTGCAACAGTAATCTTATCGTTTCTGAGCTATTATTTTATCTCGTCATATATGGATAATTATGTTGCAATATTAAATCTTTACGAACAAGCTGTTTCTTTTTCTTATCTGTTATCTTATTTTATTATTATTAGAGATTCTCTATCACATGTTAAAAGAGTATGAATTTGAATGCAAAATCAATGCCAAACCGTAACCATGTAAACGATCTTAAGGTAGTATGCTAGACAAAACAGTAATTATGAATGACGTACTATTCTTGTGTTATTTTAGGCTCAATCAACTTCGCCTGACTCGATCATACAAACCGCAAATATTCAATCCAATACAGTGTATGACTCTTATAGACAGTACTGATTAATAGAAATAGGATTTCTTATGCTAGGAACTTTTCTAATCAGAAGAAAAATATTCTGTGGGTCATCATATTCATTATAGTTACTATATTAGTCATAGTAACAATTACAGCTTCGGTAACTCTCAATAGAAAGAACAGGACAAGACCTACAAAATTAACAATAGCTACCACAGAAAATACGACTACAATGGCAGCAACTACGACAATAGAACCAGGTACAATTTTGACTAAAAAGATAAAAAATGTTAACATAATTCGTGTGAGATTAAAATTTAAAACTAGGGATGTAACGATACTAATACGCTATTGAGGTATTGACAAGAACAAATAAGGGACATCAATGTACTTCACTATATTCTGACGTATTTCGACGAGATTTCAAAGTTATCGTTGAAATGTTTTAAGTTATTTTGAATCTCCCATAAGCGAGTGTCAGAAAAATTTCGATTTAACATCATCCTACATGAATCTATCTCGAACAAAAGCGAACATATTTCACTATAATTTCCTGTACTACACAACATTAATCAAATAGAGACAAAGATTTACTTTATTCTTATTTATCAAGTAAAATATAAAGTAGTATTCATAATTGATATTATGCGCAGTAGTGACGTTGGAATTGGAATATAGATATTGCCCATACCAATAGTCTTTAACACAGCTATAGTAATATGCCGATACCTAGCAACGCAAGTGGGTTTGATATTGGGATGAGGGCTGCGCAAATACAAGTACAAATTGTAATGTGGTTTTCTGAATGATTCTATCTATAGGTTAATCTTGTATTCAATAAATTTGTACCGTCATGTAATGTAATGTAACGTGTAGATCTGCTTTAGATATGAAAAACCTAGAATCTGTCAGCCTGTACTCTGATACGTCGTCATATACTCTGTAGAATTGAGAATATGGGTGTGAGCGAGAGAGAATTAGTCACATTCATACACGCGTTGAAAATAAAAACAATACAACCATCATGCAAACAGCATTCATATCTAGATCGAGCAACAGCGTAAAAAGAAAAATATTAAGATGACTTATTGATTACTGTTGAAACTGTTCGTAGAGCAGAAATGTTTTAAAATACATACTTGAGAATCCGAGTGGGAATGCACAATTTCAATTTAAATATACATCATAGAGTTTGCATAGCGAGATAGGGATAAAAAGAGGCTAATGGAAATTTATACAAAATAAAACATAAAAGCAAACATTGATCGATTTTTTCGAAGGGAGAGTTGGCTAGTAAGCAAACATAACGAAAGAAGCTGGCCGATTTTAGGTTTTTCATATCTAAAGTAGATCTATACGTTACATTACATTACATCACATTACATCACATTACAAGGTAACCGATTCTAGGTTTTCCAGATCTAAAGTAGATCTATACATTACATTAGATTACATGACAGTACAAATTTATTGAATACAAGATTAACCTATAGATAGAATCATTCAGAAAACCACATTACAATTTGTACTTGTATTTGCGCATCTCTGATTGGGATCGTTACATCCTTACTTAAAACATAAGCAAATTGCTGTCATCGTATGAATCTGATGATAGCTTTTGTGTGCTCTATCTATTATGTGAGAATATTCGATATATTCTCGCTAGAGATGCTATATTTTATGGTAACTGCATAGTAAACAAAATTTTCTTTACTATTTTGAGTGAAGTATTTTTCTCAGACTGTTAGTAAGTATCATAACACCATTGTACAATTGTAAATAGATAATTGTTATATGCGACAGATCAACTTATCTTGAACTATCCATTTTCTATTGTCTATTTTGCTCATGCATACAACAAATCTGCTTCGATTAACATTTTGATACCACTGGATGAACACTATGCTCTCTTTTTCTCTATTCTTTCATATTTTTTCTACAGATACCTTCGTGAAGCTTCTAAGAGGTGATATTTAAGTTTAGAATGAAATAGAATGCATCACAGATAGTTCTGATTACAGCAGAAATCTGTTGAACAAACTAATTAAGGCGTTCGGACAAGAGGTATTTACTGAGAGAGACTTCAAAAACAATTTAAGTTTTAGAAGAATTTATTTTTAAAGATATTTTGAATTGTATTTCAATGAAATGTCAATTATATGGTTGTTCGGTTATGTTAATCGAAAAATAAACAAGCTTAGTGAATGCTTTCCTTTTTTTTTTGATTCTGAAATAATTTTATAGTTCTAATACCACTGGACGCTATTAATGGGACGGTGATAGGTGTATACAATACATATATCGGCGGTCTTAGCAGTATATCAACACCTGGTGACAGAGATGATCAATACGAAGAGACGGAGCCACCGAATCATGCATGCGATGGTAATGTATCAACTATATATTCAACGTTTAGTCCATGCGGAAGAGGAGATCGACAGCAAAAATGTGGTCTGAATACTGGTTTTTATCTTCAATTACAGCATGGCCCAATATTAGTCAATGGATTAAGAATATGCTATGCCTATACTAGTTTTGCCAGCGATCCATATATCGTATCCTTAGAAGGAAGTAATCTATCTAGTGAACATCTTATTCTCGGTACTAGTTGGACTCTGATCTATAACGATACCATTGAACTCCGAGGAACTTCTAGTACAACAACATGTGGCACAGTGCAAATCTTTCCAAATACAAACCATTATAGCAATTATCGATTTCTTGTGTCTCGAAAAGTTGGAATATCAGATAGTGTTCGATATTCTGAAGTAGAACTCTATGGATCTGGATTTCATCTTTAGCTTTTTACAATTAAACAAAGATCTTTTTTGTTACATAGTTTTGTCCTTGTGTTTTGTGTGAAGTGTTTAAAATTTTCTTATATTAATATTGATTAATTATTTAATTTGCTTCTAAAACAAAACTTTATAGAGTAAGTTGGGATAATTGCATAAAAAATTAGTGACCTACAATATGATGATTCTAACCTTTTTATTTTTGAGTATTTCAAAAAATTTTCTTCACAAGTCATGTAGATAAGTAGGTATTCTATCGAGGGTGTGAGGGTGAAACTGGCTGCCGGTATGATTCCATTTTAGCTACGAAGATCCTCAAGATTGGCTTAAAAATTAATAAAGATTCAGTTTAATATAAAATCAAATCTTAAGAATCTGGGAATGAGGGCAAGGGTGAGAGTGTGGACATGAATGTGGGATGGTTGTGTCTTTTTTAGTGTACGAGAAATGATCCCTAACTGGCAACTCGTTGTAGACGTAAGTCTAATGAATCATAGGTAATCAATGATCCTGAATCCGAGTCTGACCTTTGTTTGTGCTGCTAGGCCTTGCAAGCACTGGTTTTTCTGGGAATTCAGATGAAAGCAAATATAAAGGTCTTCTCTTAAATTCTTTTTTAATCAAATTTGTCGGATAAGAAACGTGAAGAAAGTTATGACAAACTTGTATTTATGGCTCCTGAACAATGAAAGAGAGCATTCGAGTGGCTATTTGATTCCAATCTTTCGATGATATAATCAAGACATCAAACTGTCTATTGTACGAGAACAAAACTACGTTCAAAACAAACAGATTAGCGATAAGAACAACTGAAAATACCAAATAGTGGCATTTCAAGAAGATCTGTGTACCAAGAGAATATTAGAGAACTAACCTATTAGCTTCATTGTTCCTATTTTCAATATAGAGCGTTATATGATTTCCCTTTTGTTTCTACCTTTACTAGTGATTTCAGCTTGCTTACCTCAAAATCCAACTGTTATGAAGAACGTATCCACAGTGAACTCTCATAAGTTAGATTTTTGATGCTCTCTTTCATCGTTCAGGAGCCATAAATACAAGTTTGTCATAACTTTCTTCACGTTTCTTATCCGACAAATTTGATTAAAAAAGAATTTAAGAGAAGACCTTTACATTTGCTTTCATCTGAATTCCCAGAAAAACCAGTGCTTGCAAGGTCTAGCAGCACAAACAAAGGTCAGACTCGAATTCAGGATCTTGAGGGTGAGGGTGAGGGTGAGAGTGAGGACAGAAAAATAACCACGTTTACCCTCACCCTCATAGATAGTTCTTACGTGAGATGAATGAATCTTGAGATTCAAGAATGTGATTATAAAGTTACTGGCATATATAAATTCTGTTGTTCGTTTAGCAAAAGCAAAAAAATTACATTTATATTTGTGATTTTTCCAAACTTTGTCAAGAATTACGTTTTGTTTTGCAAAAACATTCGTATGTATTTCTTACAGATTCAAGATTTTCATGACGTTTCAGGTGTAAATATAAAAAATGAATATAGAGATGCGCATCTTTGAAGGTGTGAATGTGGGCAAGTAAAAGACGTTCTTCCCACACTCTTGTTTCTTATTAGTCAATTTTTGTTATAAAAAATTGGATATTGTCAGCGATACAATAGTTTTCTTCGTTAATTGTATTAGTATCTTCGTAGGTCAAATTTCTGATGAATCCAACTTTTAACTGAACTTTATGCATCTCACGATTAAATTCATTTGATACTTTCAAACGTTCGATTTGCATTTTACTCTTGGTTTCTAAATTGGGAAACAAAAAAGTGACAAAGAGCTGCAAAAGAAATTAATTTTCGTGATACGGGTTTACCAATAAAAAGAAAAGAAAGAGTAGATAGTTATGTACTTTCAAAAGACAAACTAGGGTAAATCGGATCACTTTTTGCACCTCTTTAGTATTTTGATCAATACNTATTATTCTCAAAAAGAAAAGAATAGAGTCAGCTGGGGTAATTCGGATCAAAATGGTAGTGATTGAAAATGTTTTGATTCGTTCTTCGTTGTTAGTTGTGATAGAAAGCTGACTTCGGTATCGTGACTAGAGTAGAACATGCTCTATCAACTGGCGAAACGATCTCCCCAATAGCACTTACCAGAAAAAAGTATTGATCAAAATACTAAAGAGGTGCAAAAAGTGATCCGATTTACCCTAGTTTGGACAATTCGGATCACTTATATAAACTACTTGGTGTAATTCGGATCATTCCAGCAGAAATGAGAATAAATTATTCCCCCAACTCATGATGCAATTTTTTCTCATGCGTTTAACCTCAAAAATGGTACCATTGGACAGCGCATGTTCTCTTCTGTGGGACCTGAGAATATCAAGTCGAACTGATGAGTTACAGAAGCATAGTAATCATCACGATGTCAGCCGTTGAAAACACCATTTTTTCCGAGAAAGTCAACTTGGGGTAATTCGGATCACCAATGCAATCTATCTGGGGTAATTCGGATCACTCATGCAAAGTACCTGGGGGTAATTCGGATCATCCCAGCTATGTTAGCTAGAGAGAAACTAGCAAATCTTAGAGCATCTTTGCAATCAAAGATTGACTACTACTGCTCTTAGAGGAGTTATTCTGCTCACCAAACTCTATCTTCTCACGAAAAATGACGAATCCTCACGTGAGATAGATATGACATTTTTCAGTTTCATCAAAATGCTCCTAAAAGGTGATTTCTTTGACGTCCATGCATTTCTCGCACCGAACGAACTGTAACGAACGACAAAGTCTGAATAAAAAGTTCTAATACACATTGTTCAGCAACTCTGAGGCTACAAAATGTCGTGAAAATAGCCGGAAATTTGCCTTCTTATGTGTGTCTTTCATAACCATGCCTCTGTGCTGAGAAGATTTGACAAAATCGTGACGATGATAGAATGATATCCTTGGAAGCTAAAAGAACACTAAAACGTCGAATAACTTGATATGATGTCGCCCATAATCATGCTCGGTCTGCTTTGCAGTATTGTGCAATATAGAGCAACGTGAAGCTTTTCTCTGAGAAGTGCGTGGTACATGTTTTTGAAGCAATTGAATACAAAGAATACGAGTGGAAGCTATATAATGCATAAGAAATTGAGTAGATCATGTTGAGAATATAGTGGTACTCTTTTTCTCGTTAATACGTATCGTGCAGTAAATTCCTGATTCCAGTGTACCGATACATTGAGAGAGGAATTAAGGAAGACACCTATAGTAGCAACAGCTAGGCTTATACTATGCANAAATTACGAATCCTCACGTGAGATAGATATGACATTTTTCAGTTTCATCAAAATGCTCCTAAAAGGTGATTTCTTTGACGTCCATGCATTTGTCGCACCGAACGAACTGTAACGAGCGACAAAGTCTGAATAAAAAGTTCTAATACACATTGTTCAGCAACTCTGAGGCTACAAAATGTCGTGAAAATAGCCAGAAATTTGCCTTGTCATGTGTGTCTTTCATAACCATGCCTCTGTGCTGAGAAGATTTGACAAAATCGTGAGGATGATAGAATGATACCTTTCGAAGCTAAAAGAACACTAAAACGTCGAATACCTTGATATGATGTCGCCCATAATCATACTCGGTCTGCTTTGCAGTATTGTACAATATAGAGCGACCTGAAGCTTTTCTCTGAGAAGTGCGTGGTACATGTTTTTGAAGCAATTGAACACAAAGAATACGAGTGGAAGCTATATAGTGCATAAGAAATTGAGTAGATCATGTTGAGAATATAATGGTACTCTTTTTCTCGTTAATACGTATCGTGCAGTAAATTCCTGATTTCAGTGTACCGATACATTGAGAGAGGAATTAAGGAAGACACCTATAGTAGCAACAGCTAGGCTTATACTATGCAAGTAATGTTAGTCGAAGAGTGAGGAACATACACATAGATTTCAGAAGATATGCGTGTGTGTCGATATAATGGAAAATGTTCCACTTTTTAGGGGCGACAATGTATTTGTATATCGTTTTACTGCCAGCCGGACACCAGGAAAATTAGTCGCCATGATAAGATTACTAGTCAACAGCGTTATATATGTAATTCAATTTATAGTAAAATCACGCTAAAACTAACAATCTTATAGGTAACACTAATTAGAACTTAATGATCTAAGGATATTAGGATAAAGAAAATGTAGATTACACGAAAACTGAATCAGAATGTTTAGAGAGTGCCAAAATATAAAATACAGAATTTAAAGCATAAAAAACTAGTGAACCTTTTAACGGACAACATGGTTGAATTGACCATGAGGCAAAAATTTCATATTGTTTGCTACGTTAAGAATTTTTCAATCTTATGAACCAAGGAGAAGTTGTGAAAGTTCTAGGTAGAAAAGTTCTACAAAACACCGAGTGATTTTATCGTAGGTCATTTAAGAAATATTTGGGTGTGTTTTTTTCAAAATATGCCTGTTCTTGTTAGTGGAAGTCTGAAAGATTTTTCGTCAAATACAAATTATCTGAGAACAACAGTTCGTATTTAAAATGAGCTTTACTCTTAACGAAAATTCTGATTAGGCTATAGTTTCAGTTACTATGGCTGTGTAATAGAAGAAGAAATAAACTGCCAAGCCTCATGAATTTCTGATAGGATGCACTTCTCATTAAAAACTTCCGCTATCTAAGCCTATTGTATTTAAGAATTACGAAGTCTGTATTTGTTTTTTCCTACGTTTTTCTCATGAGATATCCTCAATTCCTTTAGAAATTCTTTTTTTCTGTTTTCAAAATGTATTCACCCTCAAGCAACGTTTAGATCTACATCCATCTGCGTATTGTGTTAATTTTGCGACAATTAATTAATTGGGCGCAAAATTACTTGTCCGACAAACTATCTATGCGACAAAGTATTCAATCGTCACTAACCCTCTGCACTAAGCATATTTCTAGCGACATTTCATTACCTAATTGCTGATCACCTAGCCGCAGTAGAAGTATTAATATCGGTGTGCATTGATGTGTGAAATTGTAGACTCAGTTTCATCCTTATATCTATAAGCATCCAAAACCTTGCTGTGTACACTTATGAAACTGACTAGCATGCGTAGAGCGAATCTCGATATTTATTGCGCTCGACTCATTCCTTCCACTATATTTACATTTTTACCGACAGATTCGTGTTCATCATTAATTTCAGTGCGACAAACGCACTGGCCATTCCTGTATTCAAAAATTTTCTAACACCTTCCATCCAACTATTTCCTCAATACTTGTTCATATTGACCGTACATATACTATCTCATGAAAATTGTTACAGCGGGCTACAAGATGTGCATAGAAATCTACGCTATAAAAACGCATATAAGAAGGCAAATTTCTGGCTATTTTCACGACATTTTGTAGCCTCAGAGTTGCTGAACAATGTGTATTAGAACTTTTTATTCAGACTTTGTCGCTCGTTACAGTTCGTTCGGTGCGACAAATGCATGGACGTCAAAGAAATCACCTTTTAGGAGCATTTTGATGAAACTGAAAAATGTCATATCTATCTCACGTGAGGATTCGTAATTTTCCGTGAGAAGATAGAGTTTGGTGAGCAGAATAACTCCTCTAAGAGGAGTAGTAGTCAATCTTTGATTGCAAAGATGCTCTAAGATTTGCTAGTTTCTCTCTAGCTAACATAGCTGGGATGATCCGAATTACCCCAGGTATTTTGCATGAGTGATCCGAATTACCCCAGATAGATTGCATTGGTGATCCGAATTACCCCAAGTTGGCTTTCTCGAAAAAAATGGTGTTTTCAACGGCTGACATCGTGATGATTATTATGCTTCTGTAACTCATCAGTTCGACTTGACATTCTCAGGTCCCACAGAAGAGAACACGCGCTCCCCAATGGTACCATTTTTGAGGTTAAACGCATGAGAAAAAATTGCATTGTGAGTTGGGGAAATAATTTATTCTCATTTCTGCTGGAATGATCCGAATTGTCCAAACTAGGGTAAATCGGATCACTTTTTGCACCTCTTTAGTATTTTGATCAATACTTTTTTCTGGTAAGTGCTATAGGGCAGATCGTTTCGCCAGTTGATAGAGCGTGTTCTGTTCTAGTCGCGATACAGAGGTGAGCTTTCTATCACAACTAACAACGAAGAACGAATCAAAACATTTTCAGTCACTGCCTTTTTGATCCGAATTACCCCAGCTAACTCTATCATAGTATCAGAAATAATTTGAGCATGATGGAATAGCAGGTAAAAATGCGTTCCAGTGTTTTTGAATGTTTCCACTCGGAGGAAGAACATATAATTTTTAATTGAACGTATTTACGTTTTGTTTTCTTTTTTGTAGGTTGGTTGTATTCTAGGTTCCCGACTGCTGAATAAAGACGCTCATTATTAGTATTGAGATACACGTTCTTGTTTTTTCTACGGGTGCGCATAAAAAGATGCAAGCTATTTTAAAATGGTCGTGTTAACGATGGAATATATATGACGTGTTCCTGTAGTAGTTGGGGTTTCCGACTATATGGAAGACATGATGGGACAAAGTAGACGATCAAGCATTTTCTTTTTTAACACGTAACTATGTGCGAAAATTTATTTCGCGTGCTGATAGGAAAGATCAGCTGCTAAGAAATTCGGTTTGCTTTAACGCTTTTGGTTTTCAACCGTTGGTCAGTAGCAGTCGGGAACCGCGACTGCTACCGTAAAACAGTATAAAGTTCTATAGGGTCTACACGCGTTTTTTCAGGGGTCTCATCTGCTTGGGAAACAGACATACTTTTTTTTTCATATGACCCTCCTTTCAGTCGAGGGAACTTCAAAGTAAATATCACATTCGCAAAATTATCGAAAAGTGCTTCTCAAAGTTGACAGAGTAAGATAAGATACTTTTATCAGTACAATAAATTAAGTTCATCAATAAAAAGTGAAGAAATATTTGGAAGTATTTGAAAAAGTACGAAATAGTATGAAATTTCACTTAATATAGTACAAAATAGTACGCGAAGTGTAATTACTTAGTCCAGTTTATTAATATAAACAGCAAAAATAAGTATTTTTTCCTACTTTTTCTCTACACGGAATCGCACATGATAATTTCAATGTTCAGACAATCAAGAGTAACTCATCTCTCTCGTACACATCATTTTTTTTATAAACCTTCTCTGAACACAGAAATATTTAATAAGTGAAAAATTTCAAAGAAAACAGGATTTTGAATGTAATTTAAAAATGAATAAAAATGATAGAATTGATATAAAACATGGTTATTCTATTATTTCTTATAGAAGTTAATATGTGAGGGCTACATCGATTTGATCATCGAAGCCGACTTGTTCGTCGTCATTTGCAACGATTAGATTTTCAATAACAGAAAAAAAGAGTACTTTCTGATACTGGAGAAGAACTTCAAATAGTTCGAAAGCTCTATTTCATGTTAACACATATTAACTTGTACAAGAAATAATAGAATAACCATGTTTTATATCAATTCTATCATTTTTATTCATTTCTCAACAGAAATATTTGCTAAAAAGTAGGCATTTATCATGATAAGTTAATTATTTACCTGATTTCGCTATCTCTTTTTAAGCCACGGGTACAGGAAAAACGCATATCCGAAGGTAAATTCAGATGTATTGCAATATTTTCTGATGATAAAGTAGAAGCTCTAACTATATTTGGACGTATCTACTTGTGTTTGTTCCATGATTTGCAAAAAAATACGTTAACACGGTAAACACACAGATTTTTTCCGGCTCTGTGTTGCCTTTAGAGAAAAACAAGTTACGTATTATATCAACATGAGTTTTTTTTCTTGACATATTGCACAAATAAAACGATAAGATCACATCTCTGTAGAAGAAGATTAGCTGATATGCCATTCATCTAACATTGCATATCCAGTTGTTTCGTTCTCTATGTGAGATAATCATGATCAACCAAGTACGAAATGCTTATCAATATCTATTGAGATTGAATTTATACGAAAATGAAACTAATGATGAACATGAAAAGAGAAATGAACTTCTATCAACTAGAATATTTATAATTCTTCTTCTACTGACGTTATTATTATATATTTTATATGCATCATTACCAAGTCAAACAAATAGTTTTACAATTTCTAAACCAACACAAATGCAATATGAACAATTACGATTCAAACATTCAATTAGTTTAAAATGTCCATGTAAAGATTTATCTACTCCATATAAACAATTCATTGATGTAAAAATGGAATATTATGAAATTTGTTCATCGGATTTTGTTAAACAAGAATGGATTGATTATTTCTTCGGAGAACATATAAGTTTTTATCATCCGTTTGATTTTCGTCGTAGTGCAGCATTTAAATTTCAACTTCTTCGAACCTTATGTCAACAATCTCAACAAACAATTGAAAAATATCTTGAAGATTTTTATTCAAATTCTTTGATTTCAAATGAACCTATTTCATCAGATGAATTTCATATTCAAGCCAATTATTCCGTCGGATTATTTCAAAAAACAACAATCTCTTCTTTTGAAAAGTTAATTAACTTAACTGAAAATATAGTGTGTATGAATATTTTATTAGCAGCAGTCGACACGCGTTTTTTTACCCAAAATTATATAGATCAACCATTTGCGCCCATCTGTTACAAAACACCAAAAATTCCAAAACTAAATTTAATTTGTGATGCTGTGAATGAGACGTGGCGTGTATATCCGGAGGGCATCTATGACCATATAGATCTTTATGATTATTCTGAATGTGATTCTAATCAAAATGATAAAAATAATATTTCTATTTTCATAGTACCTGGAATGTTTGCATCGACTTCACTAATGCAATCATTGATGCATTCAACATTAGAATGTTTATTTGAACAATTATGTTTAGATAAAATTAGTTTGCATGTTAAGAAAGCATCAATTTCAAAAAAGCAATTTTCAAGCTTAAAACAAGATGTCTCAACAGAAAAGAAAACAATCAAAGAATTATCAAACGCATTATTTGTAAAAGAATGGATTGTTATTTCGTCGTATGAAAACTATTTTAATTATTGTCAGCCTTTGTATTGTCAATATCTTGATGAACAAAGAAATAGTTTTGTCTATATTTTCACAACAACTATTAGTTTATTCAGTGGACTGAAATTAATTCTTCCATGGATTGTCTTATATGTTATCCAATTTATTCGGATGAAGGAATCACAAGAACGATCGACAGATACTGACAATCATACTATTACAAGTAAGTTAACACTGACAATTGAATTGCTTTTATACACTGAATATTATGACTAACATTAGAATAGAATTCGTTTTTCAAATTAAGCAATAAAAACTGTGATCTGAGGATCCCAACATTGAATATAATGGAAACTGCAGCAGAGGATTTGTGTTCTGTGAACTTTGATTTATTTTAATTATAGACGAAGATTACCTCGAGTTGTTATTCATAAAAACTTTCACATTGTCGTTCAGTTTAGAAACCGGCATGACAAGCAATTTGTCCCATTCTGAGAGAGTACAAAAGATTTAAGATTTGCACCAGAACGAGCATAGATGTAACACTCGAAACCTGAATTCAGTTATTACTTCAGTTATTCAGTTAATCATTCGCAAAAATATTAGCTGACAGTGCCACGGAGGGTGTTGCCTCGTAAGGCCACAGTGAAGGTACCGCGAATGGTGTTGTCTTCTAGGGCAGCGATGAAGTTGGGTGAGGGTGGGTGTGGATTTGGAAGTCCATACCGAAATTTAAGATATTCAAATATAAAAGTTGAATAACTGAATTCAACCTTCGAGTTTGACACTACTGTGAAAGGCGATATTTACGCTCGAGTTCGTGATAATTCGGCGGCTCTTGGCTCGTATGCGTCAAGATATAACATGAAAAATACTGCATATACTTTACCTCTTTTTTATACAATAGTTTTTTAAATTAATATGAAAGACCGTGGATAAGAATAATAGAAAGTATTGTAGACCATCCGCACTGTATCAAGGTTATGCGCATTGATCTAGTAAATCACGCTTTACCCTTTTTCTATTTCTATATATTGTTACAAATTTGCTGGAAGTTTCCTCATTACGATCATTTGGCTCTTAGAAGGTTCGATTGTTTTATCGTCATTTTATAGCGCAAGACGAGTACTTTGCATCTATCTTTCTATCTCTTTCCTCTTTCACTCTCTATATATAGATATCTGTACACTAGAAAAAAACTCTTTGAAGATAGAGTATAACAGAGGCGAATAAACTAATATGGCCAGGGAAAATTTAAATAAAAAAACTGCAAATAAGTGTTACTATGGTATATTTAAATATTTTAACTTAGATGCTCGTGACTATGCAATCTAATAAAAGTTTTATTATAATGTCTTTTATATAGTTCAATAGAGCCCATTGGACTTTCCAAAAATGTCTGTATGAAAAACTGAATCTTTATTCCCATAAATTGATCAACAACACGAATAATAGTTAAAATACTTTCCATAGTAATAACATAAGTTTATCAGATTTTATACATAGATCTGAGTGAATTTATAGTTTCAATCATGCAGAGCAAATTCATTGTGAAAATATACAGCAAGATGCAGTTTAAGAATAAAAAATAGCATATAGAAAAAGCATTAATCTTATGACTGGTTATTGAAAATATCTTGTTCAAAATTTTCGTTGGAAGCATGATAAGATGGGATGCGACAATCAGAGGCTATCGGCGCGAGATGCGAGATGCGAGATGGGATACAAAAATACTTGTCCCACTGGTCTCTGATTTAGCTTGTGTTTAAAAAAACCAGTGTTTATTTTTTAATGAATTTTTTTTTGTAATTTTAGTGTCAATAAGAATTCGCGTATTGGCATTATTGAAAACAATCAAAAGCTTGATTATAAATCTAAATCTATTCAATAGTTACTCAACAGATGAACATAAAAAAAGAAATGAAATTTTATCAACAAGAATTTACTTATTTGTATTGATTATTTCTCTAATTTTGTTTACTATTTATATATCATCTGATACACAAACGAACGCTTTATCTTTTAAAAGTCCGACACAAATTCAATATGAACAATTACATAATAATTCTTTTCATCATCTTAAATGTCCCTGTTCACATATCTCAACTAAATATGGTGAATTTATTAAATTTCGGCCAACTTATCATCAAATATGTTCAAGTAGTTTTACTTCATCAATGTGGAGGAAAGCTGGGATTATGTGGATCAACGGAGCACGATGCGTTCGTCCAGACTTTTCTAAATCGGCACGTTTGTATTTTCGACATTTATCAGAATATTGTCGAATATCAAACGAAACCATATGGGATGAATTAACACAATTTTATGATATGGAATATATAACATATGGAGTTATTCACGTAAAACAATTTAAGAGTGAAATCGAACCATCTGTTAACAATTTGAAAATACGAATACAAAAATCGTTGACAATAAAGTTGAATATCATTCGAAGTATTATTTTTGATAATCAGTTAAAACCTCTGCAAAGACGTGTTAGCGATGTTGTGTTCAATCCGAATATCATTGTCGAATATTTGCCAAAAGATTATGAAGGTTGTTCATGTCGGACTGATTCAACATGTCAAAGAACAATGTATTTCTGTCAAAATGATACGTTCACTTATATACGAAATATTTCTATGGGTTGTTACATATTAGAATCATTATTCTTATCATCAATATCATGTTTTTATGATCAAAACTGTACAGATATAATCAAAAGACATTTAGATAAAAACTATCCATATAATCCAGAATTACAACCATTGAATATTTTTGAAGAAAGTCAATATGAAAACAATGTAACTATAGAAACATTAATAGGTAATCTATTTATTGAAGAATGGAATGATTTTTATGATTATGATAAATATTATAAGTCTTGTCAACCGTTATCCTGTTCATATGAAATTGAAGAACGACCAAGTTTTCTATATATATTAACAAGATTAATTTCTATATATAGTGGATTAACAATTATCCTTAAAATTTTATTACCAAATATTGTTCGTTTATTTCGAAGAAAAAAACAACCATCAACAGGTATGTATGAATTCTATTCATAAAATTCTGGAAATTTTTGAACAACAATTGGGTGAATCCATGAAGACCCATCCACTTTTTGGAAAGGTTTTTTTTCGATTTTTTTTCGGCTCAAACATCCGCTCTCTGTTAGAAAACACTTTTGGTGAAAAAAAAATTGGATCCTATCTGCGGAAAACTTCGAGATTTTTAGCGTTTTCTTATACATAGAAAAAATGACAGAAAAACGTCTGGAACTTCACCAAAAGCTCTTTTTTCGGAATTGTCTAGTATTCATAAATATCAAACAAGTCTAGAAACATGTTTTCTGGTAGGATCTAGACTAATCTTATTGAATTTCATATGTGGTAAGTCATTTTCTATGTATATGATAATAGTCCTATTGCACGAATATGAATTAGATTCAATTAATTTGAAGAAACCTTATTTTATTTTCGTCGTAGAGTATGAGAATTTTGATGATACTGTTCTCTCGAAATGGTACTGAACTGATGACTTTGCTTACATCACTAGAAAGGCTCGTCATGAAGCGTTCTCACAGAAGTAAGAGAGCGCAGTCGAAAAGGACATTGTTATCAAAAAGATGGATTTTCCATTTCTGTGTAAGAACATCTTTAGATTTAAAACGTGATGTGTTTCTAAAAATGTCCTGATCTTAAACGAATAAGATTACAGGATGAATCATTGAATATTAGTACAGATATTGATTGCTCAGTGGTACCTCTTTTCTTCGAAAATCTTATCTCGATGCCAAGACAAAAATATTGTGAACATCTGAGAAATCATGAGAAATCTACATGTGTGCCAAAAGCAGTCAAGCCTGTGTCTATACAGCTTTCGAACTTTTTGATTTCTCATTGTGATGCGGCTCACAATCGAATTCTTTGGTTATGTCCAAGATGCCATACATTCGAATCGAAGAAAAAGATGAATTATCAATCAATGGAAGGCAACGACGATGAAAGTTCTCCTATCAATCAAAATAAAAATTATGAAGATGATAAGGATGCTGTCGATATGGATGTCAATGAACTGAACGAAGAAGAGAAACAAAATTCTCATATGGATAATGGTATTATAGCTGAATCAGACGACGACGATGATAAATCACCACAAATGGATGAAAGCCCAACTGATCCCGAATCGACAAACGAAGAGATAGATCATGCTTCCTATATGAACTCGAATATAAGAAAGACAAAGCAATGGAAGAATTATCAGCTGTATTCAAATTACTGAGCATGGATCCGGCTCATGACAGGTTAGTCTGTAAACTCAATTCGAATTTTCTGAAATGACGATTGCATTTAGATCAGCGGTAGCACCCATTCGAATCAAAGTTGAGGAAGTTTATCGAAAACTAAATCGACTATGCGATATACTGGATGAGAAATCTTAACTTTCGAATTATGCCAATCCTAATGAACTAGCAATACAAGAATCGAACGAACTTTTGAGTGGTTTTAAAAAGTTATATGCTGATAGCAATGCTGATGAAAGGGTTCGCCTGATGACAACTGCTCCTAAAGATTGGAGTCGACAAAAATAGCAAAATGGTGCGTATTTTATTCTCTTTTTGTTCAATATCTCCGTATTCTTTCTATTTATTAGGTTCCAATCAAAATCAAATCAGGCTCGACGATCGCTTGTTCTTCGAAAAAACAGTTGAATACTCGCTTATCCACAGTGTCTGCGAGGAACTAATCGCGCTTTGTCTGACCCAACGATTGATAAAATGGTCAAGTCTTCTCGTGAAAATGGTATCAGTCGAACCTCATCCAATTCCAATCCAAAGACACGATCAAAATCAATGGTCAATCAGTAGCAGTTCGCTTTTTAGAAATGACTGTGTTGGACGCGTATCGAACATTCAATGAACAACATCCTGGACTTGTTGCGCGATCAACTTTCAATGCCCTTCGACCACGAGAAGTAAAAACGGCGACACGACATGATACGGATATCTGTATAATTCATGAGAACATTGACTTGTTGTTGAAGATTTGTGCCATTTGTATGTTGATTCAAACTTTAAATAGTTTCATTATAGGCTTGGAACAACCATTATCAAAAATGTGCTGGTATAGGTGCTTTATCAGCAACCAATAAGATTAATATGAAAGATCTAATTAATCAAATGGTGTGCCCAGGCTCTAATGAAAAGTGCTTCAGTGGTAAATGCAATAATTGTTCATCGAAGAACGATTCGTTTGTGGTGGCGCAGATAGATTTCTCAATGAATTACACATTGATACGTCTTGAGGGTGAAGTTCAACAAGGATTCTTTAGTCAGCACCAAGTCAGCTTATTTACAATCCATCTTACCATTGGAGATGAACACACAAATTTAGCAATTATAAGCAAATATATGGAACATACAACAGCATTCGTGCACTGTGCACAAAAAATTCTCGTTGAATTTATTAAGGAAAACTTTCCATTGGTAAAAAAGATCAATTATGTGAGGTAAATCCTATTTTTGATGTGCTTTACGTGCTATGTTATCTCTCTTCTTTCGTTTAGTGATGGAGCATCTGTCCATTTTAAGGGNAATCACTCACAATCTGTAACGATAATGATATCGTTCATCTCTTTCTGTTCTTTATTCTCTCACCTCTGTATCGTATTATCTCCGGGTCATATCTCTCTTTCCTCTTCTCTATATAAGCGCTTGTCTTATTGTGAAAGAGATACATTCTGGTCATGTAGAGTAGTCAATAAACATCGATACCGTGAGAAGCGGTCAGCTACTCAACCAGTTTGTCGTTACACATATTAAATTCTACAAGAAATAATAGAATAACCATGTTTTATATCAATTCTATCAGTTTTATTCATTTTTCAACAGAAATATTTGTTAAAAAGTAGGAATTTATCATAATAAGTTAATTATTTACCTGATTTCGCTATCTCTTTATAAGCCACGGGTACAGAAAAACGCATATCCGAAGGTAAACTCAGGTGTATTGCAATATATTCCGATGGCAAAGTAGGAGTTATAACTACATTTGGACATATCTACTTGTGTTTGTTCCATGATTTGGAAAAAAAATCCGTTAACATGGTAAATAGACAGAGTTTTTCCGTGCTTGTGTGGCCATTAGAGAAAAGCAAGCTACGTATTATATCAACATGTGTTTTATTTCTTGGCATATTGCACAAATAAAACAATAAGATCACATCTCTGTAGAAGAAGATTAGTTGATACGCCATTCATTTAACATTACGTATCCAGTTGTTTCGTTCTCTATGCGAGATAATCATGGTTAATCAATTACGAAATATTTATCAATATTTATTGAAATTGAATTTATATGAAAATGAAACTAATGATGAACATGAAAAGAGAAATGAACTTCTATCAACTAGAATATTTATAATTCTTCTTCTACTGACGTTATTATTATATATTGCGTACGCAACATTGTCAAGTCAACAAAGTAGTTTTATAATTTCGAAACCAACTCAGAAACAATACGAACAATTGCAGTTCAAGCATCCAATTAGTTTAAAATGTCCATGTAAAGATTTATCTACTCCATATAAACAATTAATTGATGTAAAAATGGAATATTATGAAATTTGTTCATCGGATTTTGTTAAACAAGAATGGATTGATTATTTCTTCGGAGAACATATAAGTTTTTATCATCCATTCGATTTTCGTCGCAGTGCAGCATTTAAATTTCAACTTCTTCGAACCTTATGTCAACAATCTCAACAAACAAGTGAAAAATATCTTGAAGAATTTTATTCAAATTCTTTGATTTCAAATGAACCTGTTTCATCAAATGAATTTCATATTCAAGTCAATTATTCTGTCGAATTATTTAAAAAAACAGCAATCTCTTCTTTTGAAAAGTTAGTTAAATTAATTCAAGATATAGTGTGTATGAATATTTTATTAACAGCAGTCGACACGCGTTATTTTGCCTCAAATTATACAGGTCCACCATTTGGATCTATCTGTTACGAAACAAAATTTAGACCGCAAAAGTTACATTGTGAGCTGGAGGAAGAGTTGCAGGGTCTATTTCCCGAAGGCATCTATGATCATATAGATTATTATGATTATTCTGAATGTGATTCTCCTCAAAATAACACAAATGGATCTAATTCACAAAGACCAAAGAATATTCCTAGTTTCAAAGTACCTGGAATGTTTGTATTGGGTTTACCAATACAATCACTGATGCACTCAACATTAGAATGTCTATTTGAACAATCATGCCTGGATAAAATTGTTTTGCATGTTAAAAAAACATCAATTTCGAAAAAAGAATTTTCAATTTTGAAACAGGATTCCTCAACAAAAACCAAAACGATCAAAGAATTAACAAAAAACTTATTTGTAAAAGATTGGATTATTGTTCGATCGTATGAAAACTATTTTAATTATTGCCAACCTTTGTACTGTCAATATCTGGATGAACAAAAGAACAGTTTTGTTTATATTTTCACAACAACTATCAGTTTATTCGGCGGATTAAAATTAATTTTTCCATGGGTTGCCTTATACGTTATTAAATTTATTCGTATGAAGGAATCACAACAACAATCGACAGATATTGGCAGTCATACCATCAGAAGTAAGTTAAGGATAACAATTAAATTACTCTTATAATATCAGGACTAATATGAGAGCTGTAGTAAAGAATTCGTATTCTGTGAACCTTCATGTATCTTGATTATAGGCTAGGATCGATCCAAGTTTTTACTCGTAAAAGCTTTCACAATCTCGTTCAGTTCGGAACTGGCGAAATAAAATTTACATTATAGATCTGAGTGAATTTAGAGTTTACAATCATCGAAAGCAAATTCATGGTGAAAATATGAGGCAAGATACAGTTGAAAGAAAACATATTAAGCTCATGGTTGGTTATTGAAAGTAGTTTGTTCAAAATTTTCGTAAGAGACGGCCTAAAACAAACGGCGCGAGATACGAAACGAAATAGAAAAATGCTTGTCCCGTCGGTCTTCGATTTAGTTTGTGTTTCAAAGAAAACAGTATTTATTCTTTAATCAATTTCCTCTTTATTTTTAGTATCAATAAAAACGCGTTTATCAATATTATTAAAAATGATCAAAAGTTTCCTTGTAAATCTGAATCTTTTCGACAGTTACTCAACAGATGAACATAAACGAAGAAATGAAATTTTATCAACAAGAATTTATCTATTTGTGTTAGTTATTTCTTTAATTTTGTTTACTTTTCATATATCATTTGATAAACCAACGAAAACTTTATCTTTCGATACTCCGACACAAATTCAATATGAACAACTATATAATAACTCTTTTTATCATCTTCAATGTCCATGCTCACATATTTCAATTAAATATGCTGAATTTATTAAATTTCAGCCAACTTATCATCAAATCTGTTCAAGTATTTTTGTTTCCTTATTGTGGAGGCGGTTGGGTAATATATGGACTCAAAAAACACAGTGCGTTCTTCCAGATTTTGCTAACATGGCACGTATGTATTTTCTACATTTATCAAAACATTGTCAAATATCAAATGAAACAATTCGGGATGAATTAACACGATTATATGACATGGAATATATAACATCTGGAGTTATTCATGTAAAACAATTTAAGAGTGAAATAGAATCATTTATTGAAAATTTTAAAATACAAATACAAAAATCATTAAAAATGAAATTGAATATCATTCGAAGTATTATTTTTGATAATCAGTATAGACCTCTACTAAAACGTGTTAGCAATATTGTGTTTCATCGGAATATCACTGTCGAATATTTGCCAAAAGATTATGAAGGTTGTTCATGTCAAACAGATTCAACTTGTCAACGAACAATGTATCTCTGCCGTAATGATACATTCAATTATATGCAAGGTGTCTCTATGGGTTGTTATATATCAGATTCGTTACTACTGTCATCAATATCATGTTTCTATGATCAAAATTGTATAAATATATTCAAAAGATATATGAATAAAAATGAACAACTTTATCATGAATTTCAACCATTGAAGATTTTGGAAAAAAACCAATATGAAAACAATGTAACGATAGAAACATTAACTGATAATCTATTTATTGAAGAATGGAATGATTTTTATGATTATGATAAATATTATAAGTCTTGTCAACCGTTATTCTGTTCATATGAAATTGAAGAACGACTAAGTTTTCTTTATATATTAACAAGATTAATTTCTATATATAGTGGGTTAACAATTATCACTCAATTTTTAATACCAAATATTGTTCGTTTAATTCGAAGAAAAAAACAAGCACCAAGAGGTATATATTCATTCTAGTATTTTTAAGATTATAAAATACTATTGAATAAATTCTTGAATTTTGTCATTTTAGTTACAACAATATTCAATCGATTCTGTATTCTTTCACAATTATGTAAAAGTAAATTAATCCAAATGAATATTTTTCGAAATAAATCAACTGATCTTCATTTAATACGAAAACAAATCTTAAGTACACGTTTATATTTAATTACTTTTAGTATTATTTTACTTATTTGTGTTTTCTATACATCATTAAAAAGCAAATTAATTACAAATAAACTTCTATTAACACATTTAACAGAATATGAACAATTGTATATGAAACATCCAAATACTTTAATTTGTCCCTGTAGTGAAATATCAATAAAATATGAAGAGTTTATTAAACTTACACCAGTTTATCATGAAATTTGTTCGTCAAATTTTGTGAATCAAAAATGGATTGATCATTTATTTCAAATAGGTAACCTGTATCATTCAAGTTTTCATGACGTAGCATCACTTCAATTTCAAGTACTTAAGTCACTATGTCGATTAATACAAGAAACAATTAATTCAAGTTTAACACAATTTGATTCCACAAGGTTAATCACTAATCAATTAATCCGTGAAGATATATTTGAAAATAGAATTAACACAATTATCAAAGTATTTCAAAAATCAACACGACAAACATTCCAAGAAGTCTTTCAAATAAGTCGTGAAATTTTTCATGGAAATGCTTTTGTATCACTTAGTGAAAAAAATTGGAAATATCAAATTTTTAAAGTAAATGGTAAATCAATTAGTTATGCACTACCGGTAACATATAATAATGGACAATGTACTTGTGCAACTTCGTTACAATGCGTACAGTTAGCTACATTTAATAATACACCTATTGATGGTTTATTTTTTGGTTGTTATCCAATTGAAGCTATGTTGAAATCTTCACTTGGATGTTTATATAATAAAACATGTTTAGAATTAATCTTACCAAGTTCTTATCAAGCTTTGCCAAATCTAACAATTCGAATCTTACAATCAAAAACTAAATATGGTATTAATGAAACTGTTCAACATATGATTGATCGATTATTTGTTGACGACTGGAATCAAAATTATTCGTATTTGAACTATTCAAAAAAATGTCGTTCAACACAATGTACTTATTCGTTTATACAACATTTTGTTGTATTGCATATACTTACAACTATTCTTAATTTATATGGATGCTTAACAATATTATTAAGACTTTTAATTCCATTTATTATTGGAATTTTCTTTCGAATATATAACAGAAGAAGACAAATGGTTATCGCACCAGATATAATGACGGTAGATTAAATTTGATAATTTAATGAGTACTTATATTTGCTTATTTGTGCATTCATATTTCATTTATCGCTTTCAATAAATAGATACGCTCACTCGCAGCTACAGTGTGGATCGGTTTTCTTACCGATCTATAGAAATTGGCGTCATGTGAATCACATAATACTGTGACAACGCTCAACATTGTGGGTTATTCATGTACCCACCGGCTTCAATATATCTTTTATCATTGAATCCTCATATCGACTGGTCGAAGTGTCGGTAGGCACACCGAAAAATGATTCTATTGACCGGTGCCATACTATTATCTGGCTCATTTAACACCAATTTCCATAGATCGGTAAGAAAACCGGTCCACACCGTAGGACGGTGAGCCGGTGGTCACCGTCATCGTTGCATCCCTACTCACAACCTTACCTATTCTATTCTTTCAAATATTTTGTATTAATTCTCCGTGAGCCTTTTACACTGATTCCTAGTCACTTCGTGATCTTATTATTATGAAAAGTTAAAAAACTTCCAGTTTTCTTGGTAATCGGTAACACCCTCACCCACACCCCACCCCACCCTCACGCACACACCCACACCCTCACCCACATCCTCAACAAGCTAACAGAAGCGCGAAACTAGAGCAAAAAGTCTATTTATGTTGATTATAATCGGGCAATAAGAAGGAATTGGGTTTACACCGACCCAACCCGTCCAATCAGCACGTTCGACTTGCGCTCCCTGGAAAAAATGTTGATTGATTATATCAAATAGTCTGTTGATGTTGTTCACAATTGGACAATATGAAGGAATTGGATTTATACCAGCCCAACCGTTCCAATCCGCAGCATAGCTTGTCTGTAATGTCTGATTTATAATATTGAACAGTCGATTTATATTATTCGTTATCGGACAATAAGAAGGTACGGGATTGATACCCATCCAAAGATACCAATTTGGTGAATAACATTTGATTTCTCTTGCCATCACGTATTGCTAGAATGTCGGATTCTAATGTATGGTGGCGAAATTGTTTCAACGAAATGCATTCTTTTTTTTACACAAAACACGCTTTATATATCAGTCAAGGTTATCGTCCGAGACTGATAAGAGCTATTTACTGTGTTTGTCATCGAGAGTGGCTGGATTTTACTTGGAGATATTTTGTTTCCTTTTTACCGATATGCATTATCTTTACAATTCGTTCCTTTATCGTAATTTGGAAATGCAAGTATAAGTAATTTTTGAAAAAATCTTTACAGCAAGGACGTACTCATTCAGGCTCTCTTTAAAAGTCCGAAGAGTCCTCATATATGACAAGTTTTACTGTGCCTTATGTGACACTTTCGATTTTGAAAACAAATTCAGTGTCAAATAAAGCATTTCTCCAACACCTCGCAGAAACAATTGCTATGGAACACAATGTCATTTGCTTGGTTAGTTCAATCTTGACACAATCTCTACTTTGAAAATTGTTCTGTTGTTTTATTAATATTTTTCTATACAGTACTTCGTTATGTATCATTTACCATTCTCATAGAAATCTATGCCAGTATTCACGTAGGATATCTTCGAGCAGGATTCGACTTTTTCTTGAGCCGATTCGTTCCAGTGTAGGTTCCAACAGAACTATCACCGGTTCCAAGTAAAACTTGATAAGCTCCATCAGTTCCAAAAATAAAATTTTAGGAAAAGTCCTTCCTTCAACTCAAAAAGATCTAAGAAAAACACCATCAAAAACATAAAATTTTCAGAAAAACCCGAGCGAATTCGTCTTGCTTCCATCTGTTTCGATTTTAACCCTGATTCCAGATCAAACTCGGCCAGTTCTATCCATTCCAATCATAAAAATTTTCACCCACACCCTCAAATTCGACAAAACAGATATTCTTAATTCAGTCTCAGCGTTCTATTTTCGCGTTTGGATCACTTTTCCCCATTCTATTATTATTGAACTCATAGCTGAACTGAATCACAAATTTAAACATATCCATCGAGAAAGAAAGAAAACACTCATGATATACGGATAGCGAACAACAATATTTTTTTTGTACGGTTGAATTTATTAAAGAGAATGAGCTTAAAATGATAAAGCTGATAAGAAAGACATAGATTTCAGTTCAATAAAGAAGCAAAGTTTGCTTCTATTACGTTCGATTAATAAAGTTCAGCACTTGCCAAGCCCTTACCACCAGCAACCAGTGCGCTTCCATTCATTAATACCACTCCCGCATGAGAAGCTCGTGCAGCACTCATGTTAGCTGTCACTGTCCAATTTTTTGTTAATGGATCATACAATTCACTACTTGCCAAGTCATTACTATTCGATCCACCAGCAACCAATACTTGTCCATTAGATAATTTTAATCCTATATGAGTCTTTCGTGCGATACTCATATTTCCTGTCAACGTCCATTTATTGGTTAATGGATCATATAATTCAGCAGTAACGCCAGCAACATTATTGTCTCCGCCAGTAACTAATACTGTTCCATCTGATAATTTAGTTGCTGTAAAATAAGACCGTATGGCACTCATGTTCCCTGTCAATGTCCATTTCCCAGTTGATGGATCATATAACTCCGCACTTTTAGAAGTAGAACCACCTATCACTAAAACGCTTCCATTTGATAAAACCACTGCTTGATGTCGAACTCGTCCATAAGTCATGTTTGCTGCTATCGTCCAGCTACCTGATGTTGGGTCATATAACTCAGTACTAGTGAGACCATAAATACTATTTGCACCACCCGTAACTAATACTTTTCCATTAGACAATACCGATGCAGTATGCCCATAACGTTGGTCATTCATATTTCCAGTCAACGTCCAGTTAGCAGATCCCAGATCATATAATTCAGCACTATTCAAATAAGTATTGCTAAATCCGCCAGTAACTAATACTTTTCCATTCAATAATAAGGATGCTGTGAGTGCCCCTCGTGCTATATTCATACTTTGTATTGCTGTCCAAATGTTTGTTACTGAATCATATGACTCAGCACTTTTCAGATAAACACTACCGTTGTGCCCACCAATAACTAATACATTTCCATTTGGTAACAACGATACTGCATGTTCATCTCGTGGACCACTCATACTTCCTACCAATTTCCATACTAAATACATTAAAATAATGAGAAAAACGAATAGATTGATTCATGAAGAGACACAGCGCTAGTCTGATATTTGAGGATGATAGTGGAAAAGAAATGAACACCTTCACCCTCAAGATCGATATTTATCTAATTATATGGCTTACCAGGTACTGCTGTTGTTGTTGACGTTGATGATGTCGACGTGGTTGTTGATATTGAAGTTGTTACTGCTGAGCTTGGTGTTGTTGATGCAGTAGTTGGTTCTTTTTTGCATGAAAAATAAAGATCAAAATGGGAGAGAAGGGTTCAATAAGGCATAACTACAAATTAGCATTTCTTATTTAGATAGTGTAAATGTCATTTTTGATCAATGGCAAAAGCTTTCCATCTTTCTCTCAAATTTTTCTATTTCTCATCTTTCACAAATATGTGTACGAGAATTAAGAGAACAGCATCGCCTAATCACGGCCACCCTTCAGTCCTGACATAGAGCGCAGGAATCCTTCAGATCAAAATAGTTATTTCAGATGACATTGATTTTCGGTTGATTCGCGAAGTATCCACGGTCTCATTCTATTGGATGCAGTAAAGTGTAAGGCTTTCTTAGAGTCTGTGGTTAATTTGAGAAAGTATCATTCTAGTTAAAAAAAAAACAAAACAGCGAATACTATTTTGGAGACAAATGAAATTGATTTTACCATAACCAAAATAGAAATCAATTTGTGCTATTCTGTTTCCATTATGTCAATAAATCTAGTTTGCGATGTTTATTATTAATGATCACAAACTCCTTCGCTCTTTTTGTATATTTATAATCAGATATCTTTCAAAATGGGACTGAAATTTAGCTGTAAGTAAGTTCTATTGAAAGTCTGATATGACTAGAATAACCATCATTATACAACCCAAATCGATGCTCGGTAAGTACATAGCGATCGATAGAAGATGTCAGAATCATGCAGATTTTCTATGCTTACGATAAATTCTTTCTTAAGATGTAGAACAATTCTACTAACCTGGTGGCATTCGTGTTCCCAAAATGACTATCATCGTTGTCGCCTTTATATTTGTTTGTAAGTTGTAATTTTGATCCACGATGTTGTCAAACAGCTGACACTTCGAAATTGCCTGTTGAAAAGTGATTGCTTTGCAATGATCCTGTCCCAGACAGTAGGCTTGACATTGTCGGATGTCTAGTGCCGTAGTAATAACGAATGGTAAACAAGTTGAGGTGGCACATTGAAACTCCCATTTGTCCTTGATTGACATTGTAAAAGACTTTGTATCTTCCATGAGCGATTGTTGGAAACAAACGAACAAAAATAGCATTGTAATTCTCATCCAATGCATAACAGTTGTAGTCAAAATTTAACTTGATGAAAAGAATTGCAGTCAGAGTAAAATGAATACAATCTACTACTAATATATGCCTTTTATATGTCTTCTTTTTCTCTTTCTTTTCTCTTCCCATGTATATTGCAAAGAAAATCATCTCTTGGTTCATTCTAGAAATTAGTAAATGAAATTTAAGTGTTGATATTTCTTAGAAACATTTGAAATAGCCATGTATCCATCAGACCAATTTTTCCGCTGTTGGGAAGATTAGACTGAATTGCAAATACTTTTTTTTATTTTTCAATATTCTCTTTCTCGTAGAGAAGAGTCTTAGAAACATAAATTGTTTTCTTGCTTGCTTGCTTGTTTGCTTGTATGTCCACAGGGTCAAAAAAACATTGAAAATCAATTTTTCCGAAAAGACATTTCTAGATGTATTTCGAGGCGAAGACTTCGAATCTGATGTTATTTTTTGGACATTTTTCATAAAAAAGAATTTGTTTAGACAAAGAACGGCTTTTTTACAAAAATTTTTCTTTTATACAAAGGGCGAATTTTTTGTAAAAAAGTTTTTTTTATAAA